CTCAAATGGCACATCCATTGCTCCATCCCAAGGGTCGTGGGGAAAGATCTCAAAGATCAGCAACTAGGACCATTTATCGGACCTTTTCTTATGGGCATTGAACTCAGAGCATCCATAGCTTTCATTTAAGACTAGCTGCAAAATAACAAGAAGAACAACAATTGTATAGCCACTTTTTAAACTTAGAAGATAGGTACTGAACTCTGGGAATCCATAGCTTTTAATTAAGACCATCTGGAAAACAACAACAACAACAACAACAACAACAACAACAACAAGAACGAACTGTACAGTTACTTTTGAACTTAGAAGATGAGCATTGAACTCAGAGCATTCACAGCTTTCATATAAGACCAGCTAGAAAATAACAATAGCAGCAGCAGCAGCAACTACTACTACTACTACTATACAGTAGGCTTGGGCGGTTTCGTTCGTTAATTTCGTAATTCGTTATTAATTCGTATTTAAATTAGCTTACGATCCAATATTGAGCCATGCAGGAATAGTGTGAGGAGTAAATTAGATTCGAAACAATTTTTTCAATTTATTTCATAATTATTTTGTAATTATTTCGTAATTATTTTGTAATTATTTCGTAATTATTTCGTATTCTCATGTCTGGTGCAAGTTTTATAGTTGTTGTTTGTTTTATCACACCAACAGTCAACAACAGAGGGAGAGGGAAGCTTCAGAAGTTCCCCCTGTCCCATTTGGAGGTTTTTTTTATCATATTGCGCAATCGCATCCGCCATTAACGAATCGATTCGTAATTATACAACATTTTGTAAATTTCGAAATTTTTAAAAGGAAAATTTTGGAATTCTTTTAAAAAACAAAACGCAAGGGCCCCCTAAAAACGAAACAAGTTTAGAAACAAATTTTTCCATGGTTACCCAAGCCTACTGTACAGCCACTTTTGAACTTAGAAGATGGGCATTGAACTCGGAGTATCCACAGCTTTCATTTCAGACAAGTTGCAAAATAACAACAACTCTACAGTCACTTTTCAATTTAGAGTATGGGCATGGAACTCAGAGCATTCATAGCTTTCATTTAAGACCAGCCATATAACAACAACAACAACAACAACAACAACAACAACAACAACTCTACAGTCACTTTTCAACTTAGAGTATGGGCATGGAACTCAGAGCATTCATAGCTTTCATTTAAGACCAGCCACATAACAACAACAACAACAACAACAACAACAACAACAACAACAACAACTCTACAGTCACTTTTCAACTTAGAGTATGGGCATGGAACTCAGAGCATTCATAGCTTTCATTTAAGACCAGCCATATAACAACAACAACAACAACAACAACAACAACAACAACAACTCTACAGTCACTTTTCAACTTAGAGTATGGGCATGGAACTCAGAGCATTCATAGCTTTCATTTAAGACCAGCCACATAACAACAACAACAACAACAACAACTCTACAGTCACTTTTCAACTTAGAGTATGGGCATGGAACTCAGAGCATTCATAGCTTTCATTTAAGACCAGCCATATAACAACAACAACAACAACAACAACTCTACAGTCACTTTTCAACTTAGAGTATGGGCATGGAACTCAGAGCATTCATAGCTTTCATTTAAGACCAGCCATATAACAACAACAACAACAACAACAACAACAACTCTACAGTCACTTTTCAACTTAGAGTATGGGCATGGAACTCAGAGCATTCATAGCTTTCATTTAAGACCAGCCACATAACAACAACAACAACAACAACAACAACAACAACTCTACAGTCACTTTTCAACTTAGAGTATGGGCATGGAACTCAGAGCATTCATAGCTTTCATTTAAGACCAGCCACATAACAACAACAACAACAACAACAACAACTCTACAGTCACTTTTCAACTTAGAGTATGGGCATGGAACTCAGAGCATTCATAGCTTTCATTTAAGACCAGCCACATAACAACAACAACAACAACAACAACAACTCTACAGTCACTTTTCAACTTAGAGTATGGGCATGGAACTCAGAGCATTCATAGCTTTCATTTAAGACCAGCCACATAACAACAACAACAACAACAACAACAACTCTACAGTCACTTTTCAACTTAGAGTATGGGCATGGAACTCAGAGCATTCATAGCTTTCATTTAAGACCAGCCACATAACAACAACAACAACAACTCTACAACCACCTTTGAACTTGGAGGATGGGCATTAAACTCAGAGCATCCATTACTTTCATTTAAGACTAGCTGCAAAATAACAACAACTTAGAGGGTGGCACTGAACTTTGAGCAGCCATAGCTTTAATTTAAAAAACCAGCCACACAATGCAAATTATTATTATTATTATTATTATTATTATTATTATTATTATTATTATTATTGGAAGGAATGAAGAATGATGGACATTAAGCTCAGAGCTTTAGCTAGTTTCGCTTAAGACCAGCTGCCCATCATCATCATCATCACCACCAATCTTAATAGCACTTTCTTGGAAATCTTTCCATTCTCAGAAACATCTCCAAATAATAATAATAGGTCATCTCCTGTCTATCGCAAAGAAGGAGGGCATTCAGACTTCTATAGGAAGCGAGTTTGAAAAGCCTTTTTGGAAGCCACCAAAAACGTTCTGCCTCATTCTTTGATCCCAGAAAACCCATGTGGGCTCACTGGGGCTTCTACTCTGGGCCTGATAGCATAAACATACATTATATCACCCCACTTTTTTTAAAGCTGTTTATAAACATCCCTGTTTCGCTCTTCTCTTCCCATTTCCTCCTTTTGCCCTCGGCTTGGATTCATTTCTGCAAAACTGAGTACAAAAAGCATTTGGATGCAGTTAACACCGCAAGAGCCTTCCCCCTTCCCAGTTGTTTCAGGCAAAAGCAAACAGCAGCACCCTCCAAATTGGGTCTGTCATACAAACATGGGGAAAGTTCATTAAACTGCACAAACCAGGAACAGAAACTTTTTCAAACTTTGTTACCTAGTGTAATGGATGAATGGATGATGATGATGATGATGATGATGATGCTCCCCGCTTTCTTTGGATGCCTCAACTGGGTTTCCCAATGCTTCAGTTAAGCTTTAATTAGAGACTGCAATGATAGAAATATGTTCTTATCATGTGTCTTCCAATCATTACAGCAATCCGAATGCAACCCTATAGTTATTTCGAAGGTGCTTTGCCACCATTGTCTCCTTCTGAGGCTGAGAGAGTGTGACTTGCTCAAGGCCAACCAATGGGTTTCTATGGCAGACAGGGAATCCGAACCCAGATTCCTAATCCATCCCCCAAACATGTTGGGTCATGCGTTCTGGTTCTAATGCATTGCTACAAACTCCATTTGCAGCAAAGATTCCCCTGTTGCTCTTTGCTTCCTCTTTCATCCAAAGCACATTATAAAAGAGGAATCGAGTGGGAAACGTATAAGTTTAAAAATAGAAGTGATGGGAGGAAAGAGAGGGTGATCCATGGAAGCCTGACTCACTTTGGAGAGCAAAGATACTTGGCTAACCTCCTCCTCCTCCTCCTCATCATCATTATCGCAAGGCAAAGTTGATGTGCAGAATGTCTATGCTTCGGTCACAATTTGGTTCTCTTTGAATGTCCATCTACACTGTGGATTTGATGCAGTTTGACACCACTTGCTATGATTAAATGCTATGGAAGCCTAGGAGTTGCAGAGAAGGATGGAGACCTTGTAAAGCTACCAGTCCCGTGATCCTGTATCCTGGAGCCATGGCAGTTCAAGTGGTGCCACACCGCTTTCACTCCACAGTGTAGCGGCACCTTATGATTACTTTTGGGTTTTGGAAAGCTTTTGGAATAATTGCATCTGCAAAAAGAGATATTTTGTTTGCACGTTTGTTTATGCTTCTTAGGGAGCATGCACATGCTGGAACTGATGCAGTTTAGCACCACTTTGAGCGCTATGGGATAATGCGAGTTGTAGTTGGTGAGGACCCGACAGAAAAGGCCAAAGACCATGTCAAACGACAGCATCCATGATTCCATAACATTAGAATCAGGACTGTAAATAAAGAGCAACTTAAGAAAAAGAATTCCAGACAGGAATCAATCAGGGCCAGCTAACACCTCCCAAAAAACAATTCCCCTGGCAGGAAGCAGCAAGGCCATTCAATGCTAATCAAGGTGGCCAATGGCAACAGTCACCCCTACCTCAAACAGACAAGAGTTCTTTCTCCCACCCTGGACATTATTCCACAGGTATATATAAACCCCACTTGCCTTGTTTCCAACAGACCTCACAACCTCTGAAGATGCCTGCTATGGATGTGGGTGAAACATCAGGAGAGAATGCTCCTGGAATATGGCCATATAGCCTGGAAAACTCACCACATCCCAGTGATTCTGGCCATGAAAGACTTCAACAACACAGAATAGAATAACTTTAGTGTCAAACAATAGCACTCGTGATTCCATAGTATTAAGAGAATAGAATAACTTTATAGCATTCAGGATACCATAACATGAATGGAATAGAATAACGTAATTGTCATTGTCCATCATACAATGAAATTAAATGCCACCTCAATATGCATTCTATACGTAGAATTGCAAGACATGCATTCTTCCACATTCTAATCACTTTGGCACAACCCTGTGAAACCATAATAATAATGGTTCGATGTGGTCATAGCTCCAAGACACAAGACATCTCTTGCTTTTATCCTCTTCTACTGCCATTAAGCCATGGCAGCTAAAGCGGTCTCCAACGGCATTATAATTCTGCTGTGTCGATGCACCTAAAAGTCATTTGGAAACCCATAGAAGGGCTGTAGGACCAACTTGTTGGAGTGGCTTTTGGAAACATTTCTGCAGTTCTTAAATGCACCCTAGCATTGGGTTTGTGGGCCAAAAAGGGTGCATCAAAACAAGCCCATATTTAGGTGACATTTGGAGAGGAGAAGCTCCATCTCCGGCCGCAGCGTTTCTCAACCCTGACACGATGTTGTCACTCCGCATCCAGATATTTCCTGTCCTCTAACCTCAGCGCTATCTTCCCCATTTTTCGCTTCCTCTTGACAAGGGCAGAGGCCCCTTCAAAACCAAGGGCCCCTTCTGTAGGGAACGGCACTGCGCCTCTTGAACCCGGGACCGACAAAGGTGAGGCACCCATAGCTAGTATTCCCTATAGATTTGGGTTCCATTCACCCCACAACCTGCCTTTTTCCACCCTTGGAAACTTTGCCAACTCACCCATGCGCCTTCAATCCATGGCTTAAAGGCATGGCTGCATTGCCTGGTTGAAAAGGTTGGCAACCCTATGCTCTTTCTTTCATCGATTGGCCATAATTCTTGATCTCTGGCTTCTAATAATATAATATTAATAATATCATAATATTACTATGATTAAGCATAGCTATCTGGTATCATTTAGTAAAAGATAAAACAGGCTCAATATAGTTTTATTGTTTTAATGATTGTTTTATTGCTCATTGATGTATTTTTAAATTTAATTTATGTCTAATTGTAGCGTATAATTGTAATTGTTTGTACTGGCATTGAATTTTTGCCCTTACTTATGTGTAAACCGCTTTGAATCCCCCTCGGGGTGAGAAAAGTGGCATACAAATACTGTAAATAATAATAATAATAATAATAATAATAATAATAATAATAATAATAATAGATATGATATGGACCACTTTGAAGAGTGTTTGGAAAAGTAAGTATTGTTTTCTATGTTTCTTGCTTTTGTCCCTTTTTATTAACACAAAAATAATGGGATTAGTTTTAACGGTTCACTTTAGCTCTGGTTCATTCTCAAATACTTCTGAGTCTGTGCTTTGCAAACTTCCATATTTCATATTATTATTGGCCTTTTGTTTCAACCTATACATGGTAAAGTCACCTTTAAGTCATGGGAATTGTAGCATTGCAAGGTCTTGAACCTCCTCTACCAAAGAGGGCCAAACTACAACTCCCATTACATTAGCTGTGACAGTGTTATCAAACTGGGTTAACTGTACAATGTGGGTGCACTAAACAATACCGAGAAAGTTTTGGAAAGTTTCGCCTGATTCAGCATATACATTATAAAGTCACCTTTAAGTCATGGGAGTTGTAGCATTCCAAGGTCTTGAGCCTCCTCTACCAAAGACAGCCAAACTACAGCTTCCATTATGTTAGCCGTGACAGTGTTATCAAACTGGATTAACTGTACTATGCGGATGCACTAAACAACACTGGGAAAGTTTCAGAAAGTTTTGTCTGATTCAGCGTATACATTGTAAAGTCACCTTTAAGTCATGGGAGTTGTAGCATTGCAAGGTCTTGAGCCTCCTCTGCCAAAGAGGGCCAAACTACAGCTCCCATTACGTTAGCTGTGACAGTTTAATCAAACTGATTTAACTGTACAATGTGGATGTACTAAACAATACCGGGAAAGTTTTGGAAAGTTTCACCTGATTCAGTGTATATATTGGAAAGTCACTTTTAAGTCATGGGAGTTGTAGCATTGCAAGGTCATGAGCCTCCTCTACCAAAGAGGGCCAAACTAAAGCTCCCATTACGTTAGCCATGACAGTGTTATCAAACTGGTTTAACTGTACAATGTGGATGCACTAAACAACACCGGGAGGGTTTTGGAAAGTTTTCCTTGATTCAGCGAATACATTGTAAAGTCAACTTTAAGTCATGGGAGTTGTAGCATTGCAAGGTCTTGAGCCTCCTCTGCCAAAGAGGGCCAAACTACAGCTCCCATTATGTTAGCTGTGACAGTTTAATCAAACTGGGTTAACTGTACAATGCGGATGCACTAAACAACACTGGGACAGTTTTGGAAGGTTTCGCCTGATTCAGCGTATACATTGTAAAGTCACTTTTACATCATGGGAGTTGTAGCATTGCAAGGTCTTGAGCTTCCTCAGCCAAACTACATGCCATAGCGTTATGTCACTGCAGCTAAGGTGCTGTCAAACTGGATTAATTGCACAGTGTGGATGCATTAAGCAAACACTGGGAGAGCTTCAGGAAGTTTCGCCTGATTCAATTCCTCTCCTTAGTTTCGATTTGCAATGGTTGAAAGCTTTAGACTATTTTTACTTGTTCTATTCCCTGAAATGCCAAAGCATAAGGCAGGAAATAAGGATTGTATTTAGTAGCTTATTATTAAAGCCACTTCTATACTGAGTATGGATGGAAAGAGTTATTTCCTATTTGTAATTTCCTGGTTGGAAAATGGTCAGAATAAATAGAGCATTTCTTCCCAAAATGTCCCAAAGTGTTTCTGGGTATGTGTATGTGTGTGTATGTGTATATGTATATGTATGTGCATGTGTATAGATAGAAAGACAGACAAACAGACAGACAGACAGACAGATAGTTTCCTCCACAGGAAGCAGTTTTTTTGTGCAGAAAAATATTTTGAGTCAGCAAAGCATGTGTTTCTCTGCATGCAGTACATATTTCATGCAGAGAAACTCATGCTTTGCTGACTCAAAATATTTTCTGCACAAAAAAAACATCCACTGCTTCCTATGGAGGAAACAAGTGTTTTTGTGCAGAAAAAGTATCAAAAACGAGCAATTTTTTCATACTTTGCAACAGTTCCAATTTAGCTATGACAGTCCTGATTAATCCTTTCTTTAAGCTGCATTCTTTGAGTGCATCTGTACTATTGAAAAAATGCACTTTGATTCCACTTTAATTGCTGTGGTTCAATGCAATGGAATCCTGGGAGTTGTAGTTTGAGAAGGTCTTGAGCCTGTCAAAAATGAATGATGCCTCCCCAAATTGCAAAGCATTGAGCTGCGGCAGTTGAAGCAGTATCAAACTGCATCAATTCAACAGTGTAGATTTATTTATTTATTTATTTATTTCACTTACTTATACCCCGCACTTCTCACCCCGGGGGGGACTCAGGGCGGCTTACAGAGGAGGCACAATTAGATGCCTAAATCAATTGACAGCAATATAAAATACAAAAAACAATTCAACAGTTAAATTAAAACATCAGTGCATAATAAAATATTAAAAACAATCTCATGCTCGGGTTCAGAGTCCATATATCAATTCCATTCCATTTGTCCTTGTCTATCGTTAGATCCTTAATTTAGTTGCCAATGTGTCCAAAGGCTTGGTCCCAAACCCAGGTCTTCAGTTTTTTCCTGAATGCCAGGAGGGAGGTCGCCGATCTAATCTCCCCGGGGAGTGAGTTCCACAGTGGGGGGCCACCACTGAGAAGGCCCTGCTCCTCGTCCCCGCCAACCTCACTTGTGACAGTGGCGGGGTCGAGAGCAGGGCCTCCCCAGAAGATCTTAAACTTCGAGGTGGGATGTAGAGGGAGATCCGTTCGGACAAATACACTGGGCCGGAACCGTATAGGGTTTTGTAGGTCAAAACCAGCACTTTGAATTGTGCTCGGAATTGGATCGGCAGCCAGTGGAGCTGACGCAACAGGGGGGTGGTATGCTCCCTGTACGCCGCTCCGGTGAGCAATCTGGCTGCTTCTCGCTGGACTAGTTGAAGTTTCCGAGCAGTCTTCAAAGGCAACCCCACGTAGAGTGCGTTGCAGTAATCCAACTGGGATGTGACAAGAGCGTGGACCACCGTGGCCAGATCAGACTTCCCAAGGTACGGGCGCAGCTGGCGCACAAGTTTTAATTGTGCGAAAGCTCTCCCGGCCACCGCTGAGACCTGGGGTTCCAGGCTCAGCGATGAGTCCAGGATCACTCCCAAGCTGCGAACCTGCGTCTTCAGGGGGAGTGTAACCCCGTCTAACAGGCTGTAACCCTATACCCTGTTCGGCCTTCCAACTGACCAGTAGGACCTCTGTCTTGTCTGGATTCAATTTCAATTTGTTAGCTCTCATCCAGTCCGACACAGCAGCTAAACACCGGTTCAAGGTCTGGACAGCCTCCTTGGTGTACTAATTGCACAAGAAACAAGGCTCATGTGCCATTGAATCCAGTTTTAAATAGCCTGAAACCAAAAAGAATAAACCTTTGCTGCCGAATGTAATGCCATTTGTCATTTGGCCGTTGCATTTGCTGCCTGCTTAGAATTCCTTCTTTAAAAACAAAAGTGTTTGAAGACCAGTTTCCAGGAAAGGAAAACCTTGGGGTGCATCTCTGCTGCAGAATGGATACACTTTAACTGCCTTGGTTCAATGGCATGGAGTCATGGGAAATGTAGTTTTGCAAGGTCTTGCCAAAGAGTGTGGATGCCTCACCAAACTACACATCCCAGCATTGCATAGCACAGAACCATTAAATGTGCTTCAAAGAGGAGTTCTCAAAGCAGCTTCTCCTTTTGCTCTGGTTTGGCACAAATATGACTGTATCGCACAAATCTAATGCACAACCTCATGTCGTCGAGGTCATTTAGCCAAAACAAGGTGAGTCTTAGTTTCAGGTAATAATAAGGGTAGTTTGCACTGAAATTAAAAAAAATTTCCAAGGCAGGACAACATAATTATTGGGTTGCATTCAATGGAATATGGCTGAGTCTCCCTTTCTTTTCTAGATCCTCGACAAGGAAGGAATGACCGCTGGCTCCAAACACAGGGCTTCCCTCCGTGTATTTGACGATCTGATCCCACACTCCCTCTGCACCAGAGTGTCAGTTTGTCAAATATACAAAGGGCGGCCTCTGACCCACCACAAGGACCCTGAACCCTTGGCCGAAACCAAACTGGACAACTGGACGTCTTCCACCAGAGGCGCAGCCGACTCTACGGACTCCTGAGTTCTGTCTTTTGACCCATTTTCAATCGGCAATTGCTTCCTTACTCATGCCATTGCTCTCCCATGAGTTCCAGGAGCCGCACATGACTTTGCAACTCCTTCTTCTTTAGCCTCCTCTGCCAAAGAAGAATGCTGGTGCTGCACCAAATTACATCTCCCAAACTGCAAAGGCAGTTCAGACTCCTTTTGCAGCATCTATTTGTAGTATTTATTTATATTCTGTCTTTCCCACCCCGAAGGGGACTCAGGGCGGATCCCAGAACATATGTATCGTAAACATTCAATGCCAATTATACAATGACAAGACAGACAACAGATAGAGGTATATTTAGGCTTTCCCATCTTTCGGCATCTTTGGAGGCTGTGCTTGGTTCCGGCCACCGGAGGGTGCTGTTGCTCCATCTCCTTTGTTTGTAAACTTCCTTCTTTTTCTGATCCAGACGCTGTGCATAAATACTTCCCCGCTTTAATGCAGTTCCTATTTATCTACTCACATTTGTTTTTGAACTGCTAGGTAGGCAGAAGCTGGGCTAAAGTTCAGGCGCTCACCCTGACCAGGCTTCAAACTGCCAACCTTCCAGTTTGCAAGATTTATTGCAGCTTGGTGATTAACTTGCTGTGCTAAAGCCCAGCCCATCATTCCATAGCAACTAAGCTGCTGAATTAATGCAGTTTAAAAAAATACATGCTATGGAATCCCAGCTCTCATCGGCAGAGAAGGAGAAAGGCCTTATAAAACTACAACTTCCAAGATTCAATAGCATAGAGCCATAGCATAGCCACCTTGAGTCTCCACGGGAAGAAAAGCAGAGTATAAATAAAGTTAATAATAATTTTATTTATTGTAAAAGTGGTGCCAAACTGCATTCATTCCGTAATGTAGATGCACATTAAGAGTACTTTGGGGGTTTGGAAGGGTTTCGCCAAGGTTTTGGAACAATTCCTTATACAGAAGGAGAGCATTTGGACCCAAGCCTGAGCACGACAATGTCCGTTTGGGCCACAATGGAGAAGTAATGCAGTTTGGCACCACTGTAACCGCCTTGACTCAAATGCTATGGTATCGTGGGATCTGTAGTTTGGTGCAGAGAAGACAAAAGCCCTTGCAGAACTACAACTCCTAGGATCCCATAGCTTTGAGCCACCCACAGCAATTAAAGTGGTGCCAAACTGCATTCGTTCCACAGTGTAGATGCACATTAAGTGTACTTTGGGAGTTTGGAAGGGTTTCGCCAAGGTTTTGGAACAATTCAATGGACAGAAGGAGATCTTTTGGACCCAAGCTGGAACACGACAATGTATGTATGCCACAATGGAGAAGTAATGCAGTTTGGCACCACTATAACCGCCTTGGCTCAAATGCTATGGTATCGTGGGATCTATAGGTCTGTAGCAGAGGAGGCAAAAGGCCTTGCAGAACTACAACTCCTAGGAAATCACAGCTTTGAGCCACTCGCAGCAATTAGAGTGGTGCCAAACTGCATCCGTTCTGCAGTGTAGATGCTCTCCATGGTCTTTGTGTATACCTTAAATTAGTGTATCTGAACCAAACATGAATGTGTAACTATTTCATGAATGGGTTGTTGTAAGTTTTCTAGGCTGTCTGGCCATGTTCTAGAAGCATTCTCTCCTGACATTTCACCTACATCTATGGCAAGCATCCTCAGAGGTTGTACGGTCTTTCATGAATGCTGGCCATCGATAGTAACTTGATTTAAGAGACCTGATCTGTTTTCCTCCATTGGCTTGCATTTGTAAGCTCATTGATTGCATTGCTTTTGTAAAACAAAAGGACATATTTGTGTTGAACTATGTAATCAAATTTGAAAACATGTTGTGTTCCTGGTTTGGAAGTGTTGCTTCCTGTTTAATTGTGCAGTAGTTACTTTCGAAGTACTTGTTCTGCTCGAGAAACTTCATTTTTGTGGCTGCCCCAATGGTGAGAATTGGTTGAGACTCTTATTACGAGATATTCACTGCAAAACTAGAGCAAAATATGCTAGAGCACAGTGTTGCTCAACCTTCCTAATGCCATGACCCCTTATTACGGTGCTTCATGTTGTGGTGACCCCTCAACCACAAAATTATTTTGTTGCTACTTCACAACTGTAATTATGCTACTGTTATGAATCGCAATGTAAATATCTGATATATAGGAGTAGGATGTATTTACATTCACTGGACCAAATTTGGCACCAATACCCAATATGCCCAAATTTGAATAGTAGTGAGGTTTGTGGGATTGATTTTGTCATTTGGGAGTTGTAGTTGCTGGTATTTATAGTTCACCTACAATCAAAGGAATTGAACCAACTTGTAACATGAAACTCTTATGTCTGTCTGTGTCATGACCAAGAGGAAATACTGGAAAGGTTTGGGAGTTGTAGTTCACCTACATCCAGAGAGCACTGTGGACTCAAACAATGATGGATCTGGACCAAACTTGGCACAAATACTCAATATGCCCAAATGTCAACACTGGTGGAGTTTGGGGAAAATAGACCTTGACATTTGGGAGTTGTAGTTGCTGGGATTTATAGTTCACCTACAATCAAAGGAATTGAACCAACTTGTAACATGAAACTCTTATGTCTGTCTGTGTCATGACCAAGAGGAAATACTGGAAAGGTTTGGGAGTTGTAGTTCACCTACATCCAGAGAGCACTGTGGACTCAAACAATGATGGATCTGGACCAAACTTGGCACAAATACTCAATATGCCCAAATGTGAACACTGGTGGAGTTTGGGGGATATAGACCTTGACATTTGGGAGTTGTAGTTTCTGGGATTTATAGTTCACCTACAATCAAAGAGCATTGTAAACCCAGCCAACAATGAAACCGAAACAGAACTCCCATGACCAACAGAAAATACTGGAAGGGTTTGGGGCATTGACCTTGAGTTTGGGAGTTGTAGTTCACCTACATCCAGAGAGCACTGTGGACTCAAACAATGAGAGATCTGGACCAAACTTGGCACAAATACTCAATATTCCCAAATGTGAACACTTGTGGGATTTGGGGGAAATAGATCTTGACATTTGGAAATTGTAGTTGCTGGGATTTATAGTTCACCTACAAGCAAAGAGCATTCTGAAACCCACCAACAATAGAATTGGGCCAAACTTCCCACACAGAACCCCCATGACTAACAGAAAATACTGTGTTTTCTGATGGTCTTTGGTGACCCCTCTGACACCCCCTTATGCCCCCCCCTCCAGGGGTCCCGACCCCCAGGTTGAGAAATGCTGCTAGAGCAGGATGATGTCCCTCTTACAAAAGCAAAGTTTTGGCACCACCAAAGGACATTGAGAACCCATGAACAAAAATTGTGTTACGTATGTGTTATTCTATGGGGGAACTGGCCATTGGGTTTGGGCTTTCACAATGAACACACATACAGAGAAACATTCACAGAAATATAAATACTCAGTTACTAGTTAGACCTTTATTGCTGCCTTGAGAAAACTTCTGAATGCTTGGCATGGCAAAATCTCATTGGCTTTTTTTGCTGCCACATCACATTGTTGGCTCACGTGGACAGCAAGTTAATCATGAGCCAGGAATGTGATGTGGCGGCCAAAAAAGCCAATAGGATTTTGGCCTGCATCAATAGGAGCCTAGTGTCTAGATCTAAGGAAGTCATGCTCCCCATGCTCTATTCCAATTTGGTTAGACCACACCTGGAATATTGTGTCCAATTCTGGGCACCACAATTCAAGAGAGATATTGACAAGCTGGAATGTGTCCAGAGGAGGGCGACTAAAATGATCAAGGGTCTGGAGAACAAGCCCTATGAGGAGCGGCTTAAGGAGCTGGGCATGTTTAGCCTGAAGAAGAGAAGGATGAGAGGAGACATGAGGGTCAGGGATAAATATGTGAGGGGAAATCATAAGTTGGAGGGAGCAAGCTTCCTTTCTGCTTCCATGGAGATTAGGACAAGGAACAATGGCTTCAAACTACAAGAGAGGAGATTCCATCTGAACATGAGGAAGAACTTCCTGACTGTGAGAGCCGTTCAGCAGTGGAACTCTCTGCCCCTGAGTGTGGTGGAGGGAGGCTCCTTCTTTGGAAGCTTTGAAACAGAGGCTGGATGGCCATCTGTCAGGGGTGCTTTGAATGCAATATTCCTGCTTCTTGGCAGAATGGGGTTGGACTGGATGGCCCAGGAGGTCTCTTCCAACTCTTTGATTCTATGATTGTATGAAATCCCGGTTTCAATGGCAACCAAAGATATTGAGTGAAGCTTTAAAGGAAATGGTTCTGAGCTCATGGCTATGGCTTTAGGATCAGAAATAGGAATACAAAACAATCCCAAGTTTGTCCACCTTGATGACAACATTGCAACTTCCCCACAGGCCAATGAGTTTGAGTGTATCATTACAGGGAATGCTAACGTTGAGAGCAAATGGGTTTTGGAGAAGTGAGTTCCAAAATGAATCCAACTTCCCTTTCCGTCTGCCTCTCTGCTCAGTCCTATCGGCGTTCCCACATCCGTTCCTCTTTCAAAGCGAGGTGGAAACAAGCTCTCTTTTTGTCACCAGTCCCAGTTTGGCAGCAACAATTCCTAGTTCCAACAGACCTCACTACCTCTGAGGATGCTTGCCATAGATGCAGGCGAAACGTCAGGAGAGAATGCCTCTAGACCATGGCCATATAGCCCGAAAAAACCTACAACAACCCAATTCCAGTTAAGCCTTTGCATTCTCACTTTCCCAACTTGCTTTAAAAGTACAGTGTTCCCTCGCTACTTCGTGGTTTGCTTTTCACGGACTCGCTGTTTCGCGGTTTTTCAATAAATATTAATGTCAAATATTTATTGCAGTATTTTCGTTGTTTCGCGGGGTTTTGTGGTACTCGTTCTGCACATGCGTAGTACGTGTTGTACAGTAATGTACATATTTACAATTTACAGTAAATTGTTCATTTACTCAGTGGATGAATACACACCAAAAACGAAAGTAGGACTTGTGCAGCAGCCGCTTGAGATGCCACTTGCCGACGTGAGATTGTATGTATGTATGTATATATATATATATATATATATATATATATATATAAATTTGTTAGGGGCATCCAACGAGGAAACAAAACTCAAAAACCCCCCAACGAAACTTAACCAAAATTCCCATGCCCATAACCAACCCACAAGGTACAAACATATCTACTCAAAATGAAAAACAACACAACAACACACTCACAAAACGGCAAAACAACAAAACTCAAAAACCAACGAAACTTAACCAAAATTCCCATGCCCATAACACAACCCACAAGGTACAAACATATCTACTCAAAAAAAAAAACAACACAACAACACACTCAAAACGGCAAAACAACAAAACTCAAAAAAACCAACGAAACTTAACCAAAATTCCCATGCCCATAACACAACCACAAGGTACAAACATATCTACTCAAAATGAAAAACAACACAACAACACACTCACAAAACAGCAAAAAAAAAACTCAAAAACCCCCAACGAAACTTAACCAAAATTCCCATGCCCATAACACAACCCACAAGGTACAAACATATCTACTCAAAATGAAAAACAACACAACAACACACTCACAAAACGGAAAAACAACTGAGCATGCGCATTGGCGCCCAGCCGCAAGTTCCCTGGCGCGCGCACATGCCCTTCCGGCCAACGTTCCCTCTGTGGAAACCATGCCCACTCCAAGCCCCGCCGCGCCGCTTCCCGCACACACACACACCCCTGCCGCACATACACACACAACCCCACACTCCATCACTCCCCCCGCCGCCGCACACACACACGCAACCCCACTCCCCCCGCCGCCGCACACACACATGCAACCCCACACTCCATCACTCCCCCGCTGCCGCACACACACGCAACCCCACCCCCCTCACTCCCCCCGCCGCCAACACACACGCAACCCACTCCCCCCGCCGCCGCACACACACACACAACCACGCTCCATCACCCCCCCGCCGCCCACACACACACGCAACCCCACCCCCCCCCCCGCCGCAGCACACACACACACAACCCCACGCTCCATCATCCCCCCAATCTTACCTCCTTTTACTTCACGCCACCTCCAAACCCCACCCCGCCCCTTCCCGCCCTGTCAAAATCCAGGAAGACAGGAAGGAAGGAAAGAAGGAAGAAAGAGAAAGGGAGGTAAAGAAAAAGGGGGAAGGAAGGAAAGTTAGAGAAAGAAGAAGAAAAGGAAAGAAAAGGAAAGATGGAAGGAAAGAAAAGAGAGACAGCAGAAAAGAAAGAAAAAGGGAGAAGGAAGGAAAGAGATAGAGAAAGAAGAGGAGAAGGAAAGATGGGAGGGAAGGAAGGAAGGAAGGAGGGAAAGAAGGAGAGAAAGAGGGAAGATTGGCCACAGCAACACGTGGCGGGTAAAGGTTGTTATTTCTATTATTATTATTATTATTATTATTATTATTATTATTATTATTATTGTATTGTTCCTATGAGACCCTGGAGGAATGGGAGAGGTGTCAGGTCCCAGAGGCAATGCATTGGATTATTGTTATTGTTATGATGGTGGTAAAATAAAAGGAAATAAAAAGTGAAAGAAGGAAGCAAACAGGGAGAAGAAAGGAAGAGGAGAAAGGGGAGGAAGAAGGAAAGAGAGAAGGATGAAAAAAGAGGAAAAGAAGGAAGAAAGAAAGAGAAAAAGAAAGAAAGAAAAGAAAGAGAAAGAAAGAAAGAAAAAAAAAAAAGAAAGAAAGAAAGAGGTAGAGAAGGAAGAAAGGAGAGAAAGGGGGAGGAAAAGGGGGAAGGAATAGGTAGGGACCTCTCTTTCATAATAGTCCAGATATCTACCTCAACTTTGATAAGTTTTACTATAGGCCACAGCAACGCGTGGCAGGGCACTGCTAGTATACACACACACACACACACACACACACACACACACACATACTAGCTGTCCCCTGCCATGCGTTGCTGTGACCCAGTCTGTGTATATGTGTTGTGTGTGTGTGTGCATATTTTTATGTATATGTGTATATATGTGTGTCTGCATATATGTGTGTGGTTTTGTGACTGCATTGTAATGAATATATATATATATATATATATATATATATATATATAGTGTTTTCAGTGTTTTTATGAGTGATGGTCACTCGTTGGCCTGAGTGGTGTCTTGTGTCCAAATTTGGTGTCAATTCGTCCAGTGTTTTTGAGTTATGTTAATCCCACAAACGAACATTACATTTTTATTTATATAGACTAGCTGTCTCCTGCCATGTGTTGCTGTGGCCCAGTCTGTGTATATGTACTTTGTGTGTGTATATGTGTGTGTATATTTGCATATATGTGTATATATGTGTGTTCGCGTGTAATATATATATGTGGTTTTGTGCATTTGAAGTCTCTTCTGCTGTGTTTTTCAGTGAGTGATGGTCACTCGTTTGCCTGATGTGTATGTGTCCAAATTTGGTGTCAATTCGTTCAGTGGTTTTTGAGTTATGTTAATCTCACAAATGAACATTACATTTTATATCGCCCGAGTGTTGCACTCCAGAACAGGAAACAGCCCCTCTGACTGTTGCTGTGCCCACATGGGGGTTCTGTGTGGGAGATTTGGCCAATTCTATCGTTGGTGGGGTTCAGAATGCTCTTTTTTGTAGGTGAACTATAAATCCCAGCAACTACAACTCCCAAATGACAAAATCATTTTTGAGTGAAGGACATACATTGGGTTGTTAGGTGTCTTGTGTCCAAATTTGGTGTCAATTCGTCAAGTGGTTTTTGAGTTCTTTTAATCCCACAAATGAACATTACATTTTTATTTATATAGAACACTGTACATATATAGCATCCCTACTTTGCAGATTTTCACGTATCGCAGGTGGTCCTGGAACGTAACACTCACGATAAGTGAGGGAACACTGTACACTCTATTGCTCATCCTCTGACCTGTTGTACCAAAAAAACTCAGTGCTGTAAATTGGGTTTCAAACCCCCCAAAACAGTTAATACTCAGGCCCCTTCTAAACTGCCATACAATCCAGATTATCAGTGCAGATACTCCACATTATCTGCTTTGTACTGGATTATATGAGTCTACACTGCCATATAATCCAGTTCAAAGCAGATAATCTGGATTTTATATGGCAGTGGAGAAGGGGCCATGGTCTTTTGCACTTTGAACTGAGTTTGCAGCAGTTGAAGGGAGAACAAAGGTGGGGAGCAGGCCCGTAGCCAGGATGTTGATTTGGGGATTGCTGAGTTTGATTCAAAGGAGGGGGGCTCAGGATCTACTCTAGCAAACCTCTTGTATTGTTACCCCAATACCCCCATGCATATGGGATATATTGAGTAGGGTGATCAGATCATGATATGAATAAACATAACAGTTTAAATAATGCACCAGTAAGGCCTTTTCGCGGACCATCCTGAGAATTTCGGGGAGGGGGGGTTGAAGCCCCTCAAGCCCCCCCCCCCCCCCCCCCCCCCCCCCGGCTACATGCCTGGTGGGGAGGAAAGAGAAACTGGCACATGTCAAAAGCATCTGGAAACCGAGGTTGAAATGGGACTATCCCTGCAAATGCAAAATAAGTGGTGCAAACTTTAGCAAGAATGGCCAGGTATCGAAATGTGGAATTTCTACATGCAAACTGCATCTTGGTGCAATATAGTGCAGTCCAGCTTGCAAAAAAGGAAGGTTTATAGGTGTCCGTTAAAGATATGGAAAAGCTTGCTCTTGAGCATCCCTTCCTTGCCAGGGCTTTGTTCATACGGTCACTTCGTACTCAGACTCCTTGCTCACTAGGAGCTCGTACTCGCTCTCAGGCTGTGTGTGCATGGCCACGTACAGGCCGGCCTTGGTGGGCTCCTCCGTGTAGTTGTTCTCCAAGCAGCGGTTGGGCTCCTCGTAGGGACCTTCGCATGGCTGCGGGTCAACGGCCGGACCTTGCCCACCTCCTGCTCCGGGCGCAAAGTCTGCGGTGTTATTGTTGCTGAAATGGAAAGCAAAGAGTCAAGACCCTCCTGGGAAGAAGTGGCTCAGAGCCGTCACAAAGGGCCACAAACCAACTGCAAATGTTCTTGGTTACCTTTGAGTCACGTCTAACTGGTGTTGGCCCAAAGGAAGGGATATTGGGAGGGATAGCCAAGACTCCAGAATCTTAGAGTTGGAAGAGACTTGGTGGGCCATTCAGTCCAACCCCATTCTGCCAAGAAGCAGGAAAATCCATTCAAAGCACCCCCCAACAGATGGCCATCCAGCCTCTGCTTAAAAGCCTCCAAAAAAGGAGCCTCCACCACACTCTGGGGCAGAGAGTTCCACTGCTGAACAGCTCTCACAGTCAGGAAGTTCTTCCAAATGTTCAGGTAGAATCTCCTTTCCTGTAGTTTGAAGCCATTGTTCCATTGCATCCTAGTCTCCAGGGCAGCAGAAAACAAGCTTGCTCCCTCCTCCTCCCTAGGACTTCCCCTAACATAATTATACATGGCTATCATATCTCCTCTCAGTCTTCTCTTCTGCAGGCTAAACATGTCCAGCTCTTTAAGCCACTCCTCATAGGGCTTGTTCTCCAGTCCCTTGATCGTTTTAATCGCCCTCCTCTGGACACATTCCGGCTTAGAGTCAACATCTCCCTCCTGACCATAAATACTCCAGCCTTTCTCCATCTATGTTCATCTCTCCAGAATACACCAGGTTGAAACATTTCCATATTACTCTCGAAATAATGAAGGAGTACTTACTATGTGACTGGGTAGCTGCGATCTGAAAAAGGAATGGCAACATATGATTAAAAAAAACATAAATAAAACTATTTTATTAAAAGACAGCACTAATTTTAAAACAGCGTAGATGGTTTCAAGGCATATCTCGAAGCGGCTTACATTAAAAGCATTGAAATGTATAAATATATAAATATGAAAATAGAATTAAATATCAGTTAATTCATTCAGCCCTCGATCACTGTTTTGAGTCTCCTTTGGGAGAGATAAAGTGGGGTATGAATAATCTATACAAATAAAACTGTATTGTTCATTTGTGGGATTAACAGAATTCAAAAACCACTGGACAAATTGCCGCCAAATTTGGACACTTAGACACCTACTAACCCAAGGAGTGATCATCATTCAAAATAATGATGTTGTCATTTGGGAGTTGTAGTTGCTGGGATTTATAGTTCACCTACAATCCAAGAGCATTCTGAACTCCACCAATGATGGAATTGAAACAAATGTGGCATACTCCCATGGCCAACAGAAAACACTAGAAGGGTTTGGTGGAATTTGACCTTGAGTTTTGGAGTTGTAGTTCACCTACATCCAGAGAGTACTGTGGACTCAAACAATGAAGGATCTTGACCAAACTTGGCACAAATACTCAATGTGCCCAAATGTGAACAGTGGTGGAGTTTGGGGAAAATAGACCTTGGCATTTGGGAGTTGTAGTTGCTGGGATTTATAGTTCACCTACAATCAAAGAGAATTCTGAATCCCACCAATGATAGAATTGGGACAAACTTCCCACACAGAACCCCCAGGACCAACAGAAAATACTCAAGGCTATCAGTCCAACTCTCTTCATCAGGGCAAGAAAACATAATCAAAGCCCTCCTGACAAAGAGCCATCCAGACATAGGTATAGATAGATATGATTCACACAGACATGCACCAACTGCGACCGTACCTCGCGAAGGCTGATCTGCTCACCTAGAGATGACAAAAGAACATCCGCGAATCAAGAATAACGAAGAGAGGACGAGCTTGCGACTGAAAGAATGAAGGGCAAGCAGAGGACTCCATTCTTCCGTGCGCACGGCTCCCCTCCCTCCCCCTTTTTCCCTCTTCTTTTTCCTGTCTCCTCCGCCGCCGCCGCCCCCCCCCTCTCCCCACTACTTAGCCCTTCTTTCCCTCCTGCCTTCACTCCCTATTTCCTTCCTTCCTTCCTTCCCATCTTTCCTTCTCTTCTTCCTTCTCTATCTTTCTTTCTCTTCTGCTGTCTGTTGTGTATTGTTATGTTGTGTTTTGAGGCCTTGGCTTTTGTAAGCCGCATCGAGTCCTTCGGGAGATGCTAGCGGGGCTACAAATAAAGTTAATAATAATAATAATAATAATAATAATAATAATAATAATAATAATTCACAAACAGAGAGATATAGTATCATAGATTTGAAAGGGACCCCTAAAGAAGGACAATTATATGTTGCATGTTCCAGGGTGGGCAAACCAGACACTCTCCACATCAACACTGACAAAGAAATAGCAAGAAACACTGTTTACCCACAAAAGAAAATGACATATATTAGAAACCAAAACTTTCTCATTACTTTATTTTCCATTTCACCAGACTGGGCAACAGCAACGCCTGGCAGGGAACTGCTAATAATAATAATAATAATAATAATAATAATAATAATAATAATAATACCAGCTTGTTGTTATTTATGAGGTCAATTGACCTCATAAATAACAACAAGCTGGTATTATTATTATTATTATTATTATTATTATTATTATTAACTACATATAATGCATGTCATTTTATTGGCTCATTTTTAACTGTTCATTTTAACTCTTTGTTTGTTTTTGAGTTATTTCTATTTTTGTGATGGTATACGACATTAAATGTTTGCCATGTTTGTTTTGGAAGCCACTCTGAGTTCCTTTGTGGGAGAGAGGGAAAGTTAAAAATCAGCAATCTCAAGCTAAATACAAATGACAAACTGATCAGCTTCGATGTGGTGTCTCTATTTACCATGGTCCCAGTTGCAGACACCATGGCACTCATCAACCAGAGGTTCCCAGAAGACATCACGGCGCTGTTTCACCATTGCCTCACCACCAGCTATTTTCAGTGGGACAATGAATTCTACGAACAGAAAGATGGAGTAGCTATGGGGAGCCCTCTCAGCCCAGTCATAGCTAACTTCTACATGGAACACTTTGAAAAACAAGCTCTTGAAACAGCAACCAAAAAGCCCACTATATGGTTCAGATATGTGGATGACACCTTCACCATTTGGAGCCATGGAGAAGAAGAACTCAACAGGTTCCTGGAATCTTAACAGCATCCACCCAAACATCCAGTTCACCATGGAAAAAGAAAAGGAAGGAAGACTGCCTTTTCTAGATGTCCTAGTCATCCGTAAACCAGATCAACAATTGGGTCACACCGTTTACAGAAAACCCACACACACAGATAGATATCTACATAAAAACTCCAACCATCACCCAAGTCAAAAAAGAAGCACCATTAAAGCCTTGGCAGACCGTGCAAAAAGAATCTGCGAAGCCCACCTCCTCCAAGATGAACTGAACCACCTCAACTGGGCTCTCCAGGCCAATGGAGACTCCACCTCAGGCATCAGAAGAGCTGCAAGACCAAGAACAAGCCACGAGAGTAAAGATGAAGATCCACCCAGAGGAAAAGTGTTCCTGCCATACATCAAGGGAACCACTGACCGCAGAGGGAAGCTGATGAGGAAACACAACATACAAACAATCTACAAACCCACCAAGAAAATCCAACCAATGCTCCGTTCAGCAAAGGACAAGAGGGATCCTCTCACCTCTGCAGGAGTCTACCATTGTGTACCATGCAGCTGTGGACAAGTCTACAGAGGGACCACCAAACGCGGCATTGCCCAGACACGCATCAAGGAACATGAAAGGCACTGCAGACTCCTTCAACCAGAGAAGTCAGCCATAGCAGAGCACCTGATGAACCAGCCTGGACACAGCATATTATTTGAGAACACAGAAATGCTGGACCACCAACAACCACCATGTCAGACTACACAGAGAAGCCATTGAAATCCACAAGCATGTGGACAATTTCAACAGAAAGGAAGAGACCATGAAAATGAACAAAATCTGGCTACCAGTATTAAAAAAAACTCTAAAATTGCAACAGCAAAAACAGCAGAGAGGAAAACAGGCAGGGACATCTAATCACCTTTCAAGAAGAGTTTGCTCCAGGCACAGTCAGCCCATTGTATGCTAATCAAGGTGGTCAGTTGAAAAGATTCACACCTAGCCCAACTTACAAAAGCCTTTTGTCTCACCCTGGTCATTCCACAGATATATAAACCCCTTTTTCCCAGCTCCAGCAGACCTCACCTCTGAGGATGCTTGCCATAGATGCAGGCGAAACGTCAGGAGAAATGCCTCTAGAACATGGCCATATAGCCCGAAAAAACCCACAAGAACTGAGATTAACTTTACTAATATATATATATATATATATATATATATATATATATATATATATATATATATATGGACAGAAGAGTGTTGTTATTATGTGGGGAAAAGATGTGTCAATTGCTCTTTTTTTATTTAAGGGTATAGACCAGTGGTTCTCAACCTTCTTAATGCCGTGACCCCTTAATACAGCCCCCCATTTTGTGGTGACCCCCAACCATAAAATTATTTTCGTTGCTACTTCGTAACTGTAATTTTGGCTACTGTTATGAATTATAGAATCATAGAGTTGGAAGAGACCTCATGGGCCATCCAGTCCAACCCCCTGCCAAGAAGCAGGAATATTGCATTCAAAGCACCCCTGACAGATGGCCATCCAGCCTCTGTTTAAAATGTAATGTAAATATCTGATATTCAGAATGTATTTTCATTCACCGGACCAAATTTGGCACAAATACCTGATACGTCCAAATTTGAATACTGGTGGGGTTGGGGGCTGGATTGATTTTTATCATTTGGGAGGTATAGTTGCTGGGATTTATAGTTAACCTGCAATCAAAGAGCATTCTGAACTCCACCAATGATGGAATTGAACCAAACTTGGCACTCAGAATTCCCATGACCAACAGAAAATACTGGAAGGATGTGATGAGCATGGACCTTGGGGTTTGGAGTTGTAGTTCACATAGGATTGGAGATAATGGAGTTTCCAACTCACCAGATTTGGTTCTCCTTCTGCAAAAGGCGATGGCGATGGCGGCCAGGACTACAGCGGCAGCCAGCACCGCAATCAGGATGATAACATAGAGGGGCAAGGCAGCCTTGCGATGGCCTGGAAGAAACATTGCAAAATTTCAGGGTCTCCATTAGGGATTTCCCATTCTACAATACTGCATCCCCCAAAATTTCTCTTTTTTGCACCCCCTTTTTGTGACACTCACCTTGCCTTTCGGAGGCCTTTCCGTGCAACCCAAAAGTCGACGAAGATGTCCTTGCGGCTGCAAAGAGATCCTCAAAATTAGAATCGGCAGAAAGAAGATCCCACTCCTATCCTAGGAATCAATGAGGAGGGGGCTTGGGGGTCCGGTCCCCAGACTTTGGAACTCCCTGCCACTTTTTTCTTCTTTTCTTCCGTCTCTTTCTCTTCCACACTCTCCCTTTTTCTTTTCTTTCTCTCTTTGCCCTCCCTCTTCCATCCTTCTCCCTCTCTTCCTTCTTTTTTCTCTTCCTTCCTTTCTTTCTTTTCCTCTTTTCTCCCTTCCTTTCTTCTTGTTCACTCTTGATATTGCTTGCTTGCTTTTCATGTAGCCTTTCTTTCTTGTTCCCTCCCTTCTTTCTCTTTCTTTCTCTATCCCAACCTCTTTCTCTATCCTCACCCTTCCATCCGTCTACATCCCTTCTCATTTGCTCTCACTTTTTCTTTCTTTTTTCTTTTTCATTCCCTCCTTTTCTTCCTTCCTTCCTTCTTTCCTTTCTTCCCTCCTTCCCTCCCTGCCTCTTTCCTTCCTTCTCTTTCTCTTTCACACTCTCCCTTTTCCTTTCTCTCTTTGCCCTCCCTCTTCCATCCTTCTCCCTCCCTCCCTTCTTTTTTCTCTTCCTTCCTTTCTTTCTTTTTCTCTTTTCTCCCTTCCTTTCTTCTTGTTCACTCTTGATATTGCTTGCTTGCTTTTCATATTTCTTTCTTTATCATTCTCTCCCTTCTTTCTCTATTCCAACCTCTTTCTCTATCCTTCACCCTTCCATCTGTCTCCATCCCTTCTCATTTGCTTTCACTTTTTCTTTCTTTCTTTTCCATTCCCTCCTTTTCTTCCTTCCTTCTTTCCTTTCTTCCCTCCTTCCCTCCCTGCCTCTTTCCTTCCTTCTCTTTCTCTTTCACACTCTCCCTTTTCCTTTCTCTCTTTGCCCTCCCTCTTCCATCCTTCTCCCTCCCTCCCTTCTTTTTTCTCTTCCTTCCTTTCTTTCTTTTCCTCTTTTCTCCCTTCCTTTCTTCTTGTTCACTCTTGATATTGCTTGCTTGCTTTTCATGTAGCCTTTCTTTCTTGTTCCCTCCCTTCTTTCTCTTTCTTTCTCTATCCCAACCTCTTTCTCTATCCTCACCCTTCCATCCGTCTACATCCCTTCTCATTTGCTCTCACTTTTTCTTTCTTTTTTCTTTTTCATTCCCTCCTTTTCTTCCTTCCTTCCTTCTTTCCTTTCTTCCCTCCTTCCCTCCCTGCCTCTTTCCTTCCTTCTCTTTCTCATTCACACTCTCCCTTTTCCTTTCTCTCTTTGCCCTCCCTCTTCCATCCTTCTCCCTCCCTCCCTTCTTTTTTCTCTTTCTTCCTTTCTTTCTTTTTCTCTTTTCTCCCTTTCTTCTTGTTCACTCTTGATATTGCTTGCCTGCTTTTCATATCTCTTTCTTTCTCATTCTCTCCCTTCTTTCTCTTTCTTTCTCTATCCCAACCTCTTTCTCTATCCTTCACCCTTCCATCTGTCTCCATCCCTTCTCATTTGCTTTCACTTTTTCTTTCTTTCTTTTCCATTCCCTCCTTTTCTTCCTTCCTTCTTTCCTTTCTTCCCTCCTTCCCTCCCTGCCTCTTTCCTTCCTTCTCTTTCTCTTTCACACTCTCCCTTTTCCTTTCTCTCTTTGCCCTCCCTCTTCCATCCTTCTCCCTCCCTCCCTTCTTTTTTCTCTTCCTTCCTTTCTTTCTTTTTCTCTTTTCTCCCTTCCTTTCTTCTTGTTCACTCTTGATATTGCTTGCTTGCTTTTCATATCTCTTTCTTTATCATTCTCTCCCTTCTTTCTCTATTCCAACCTCTTTCTCTATCCTTCACCCTTCCATCCGTCTACATCCCTTCTCACTTTTTCTTTTTCTTTCTTTCTTTTCCATTCCCTCCTTTTCTTCCTTCCTTCTTTCCTTTCTTCCCTCCTTCCCTCCCTGCCTCTTTCCTTCCTTCTCTTTCTCTTTCACACTCTCCCTTTTCCTTTCTCTCTTTGCCCTCCCTCTTCCATCCTTCTCCCTCCCTCCCTTCTTTTTTCTCTTTTCCTTTCTTTCTTTTTCTCTTTTCTCCCTTCCTTTCTTCTTGTTCACTCTTGATATTGCTTGCTTGCTTTTCATATTTCTTTCTTTATCATTCTCTCCCTTCTTTCTCTATTCCAACCTCTTTCTCTATCCTTCACCCTTCCATCTGTCTCCATCCCTTCTCATTTGCTTTCACTTTTTCTTTCTTTCTTTTCCATTCCCTCCTTTTCTTCTTTCCTTCCTACTTTCTTTTCTTTCTTCCCTCCCTCCCTCCCTGCCTCTTTCCTTCCTTCTCTTTTTCTTTCATTCTCTCCCTTTTCCTTTCTCTCTTTTCCCTCTTTCTTCTCCCCCTCTTTCTTCTTTTTTAATCTTTCTTCCTTCCTTTCTTTTTCTCTTTTCTCCTTTTCTTCTTGGTTACTCTTGATATTGTTTGCTTGCTTTTCATGTCTCTTTCTTTCTTGTTCCCTCCCTTCTTTCTCTTTCTTTCTCTATCCCAACCTCTTTCCCTGTCCTTCACCCTTCCATCCCTTCTCATTTGCTCTCACTTTTTCTTTCTTTCTTTTCCATTCCCTCCTTTTCTTCCTTCCTTCCTACCTTCTTTCCTTTCTTCCCTCCCTGCCTCTTTCCTTCCATCTCTTTCTCTTTCACACTCTCCTCTTTCTCTTCTTTCTCTCTTTCCCTCCCTCTTTTCTTCTGTCCTTCTCTTCTGCCTTTCTTCCATCCATCCATCCATCCATCCATCCCTTTCTTCCTCTATTACAGATTATGAATGTTTAAAAACATTATGTGTGGAGCAGAACAGACAACTCCGCATCTGTACACTTGTCACTATGCCCTGCCTCATGTCCAGAGGAAGAATTGTTGAAGGCTACAGACAATGCCATTGCTGTTGTCCGTTTTTGGTCAAAATATATTTAGCCGCCTGTGCGCCTTCTATTTTTATCAGTTTTATACTAATTTATGCAATACTTTGATACAAAATAAAATAAAGCTTATGAATTACTCATGTTGAGGATGACCCTTGCTTGGATGAAACCAGAGCCATCTTTCACGCTTTATTTTAGTAGATGCCTTCAGGTGGCACCATTGTCCCACTTCTCCAACATCTAAAACAGCTTCATTCAACCCAGTGCAATCATGGACTACATGTCCCAGAATCCTCAACGCACATGGTGGCCTAAAAGGACACTTGAAGCTTCTCTTTCTCTCACCTTTTGCCGTAGTCGCTCTTCTCCGGACGATTGGGCCTGTTGTGGTCCTTGCTTCGAATGTCTTCTTTGTTGTTTCTGCAACATTTCAGGAAAGAGACTTTTGCAAAACAGTGATCCCCAAAGAGTGTATGGGATGGGAAAGTATTAGTTAAGTCTCTTCGTAATAGTCACTCTCAAGCATCCAGAAGCGACATTTATCCGGCATCCCCGGGCTAAAGGAGAGTCTCCTGTCTATGTGTTTCTCCCATTTGTGAGGCTGTGGTCTAATCTATGGTTAATCCTCCTTGGGGTCCTCACTTTTTGACCCTGAAGCCTCACCTGGCCTGGAAGTTGCGGGCTCCTCGGACAAAAGGCTGGGATGTATAGTACTAAAATGGGTAGAACCTGCGAGAGAAGAGACAGAGTGTTACATGGTCTTAGTGGACTCTTTGATTGTGTCTTCCTTTGTGGCAGAAAGGGGGGCATAGAAATCTTTGGGGGTCCCTTCCAACCCTACAGATGACTGTGAGTTCATTGGAGTCCCCTTCTACCCTGGGGGTCTTTAAGCAGAGGCTAGATGGCCATCTGATGGGAGGGCTTAGATTGTGTCTTACTGTCTGGCAGGTTGAGGTTGGACTAGATGATCTTTGTGGATCCCTTTCAACTCTAGTGATACTTCGGAAACTTGAATTAGTCCAACAGGCGGTGGCCAGATTACTCACCGGAGTGTCATACAGAGAGCACACCATCCCCCTCTTGTGTCAGCTCCACTGGCTGCCGATCCAGTTCCAAGCACAATTCAAAGTGCTGGTTTTGACCTACAAAACCCTATACGGTTCTGGCCCAGCATACCTGTCCGAACGTATCTCCCTCTACATCCCACCTCGGAGTTTAAGATCTTCCGGGGAGGCCCTGCTCTCGGCCCCACCTTTATCACAAGTGAGACTGGTGGGGATGACGGACAGGGCCTTCTCGGTGGTGGCCCCTCACTGGAATGTGCTCCCCGGGGAAATTAGGTCATCAACATCCCTCCTCTCCTTCAGGAGTGTTGGGGTTCAGCCTGAGTTTGAACCTGATTCTCTGTTTGTACCTCCTGATGCTAATGAAAATATATTTACTGATGCTAATGAAAATGTACTTCCTGATGCTAATAAAAATGTACTTCTTGATGTCAATGATCCTGAAATTAGTGACAATGCTCCTGAAATTAGTGAGGAAGAAACTTCTGTAGATTTGGAAAATGAAAGTACCAGTGTTCATGAGAATGTTTCAGAGGGAAGCCATGACTTTTCACTCCCTTCTGCACCTGGGAACTTTAATGAGAATAGAAGGGGCCAGATCTGGCAAGACAGGAGTCAATCACTCAGCTTGCGAAGGTCTTCAAGATTAAAGGAAAAACAAACAAGGGCTTCAAAGCAGGGAGGCGTATCATGAAACCAATTCCTCGGCTTTAAGTGCTGACTTTCTCAGTTCAGGCATCGTTTTAGATTGATGAGTACCTTGGCAGTTCTCCCAGTTTCCTTGGCCATCGTCTTGAAAGATTTCTAGGACACCAAGTACGGTTAGTGGATTGCTAACAGGTTCCAGTATTTTACAGTGTGGCTTTGGGTTTTGATCTTGTTCGTGGACATTCATGTTTGCTGATTTTGCTGTGGCTTTTGACTTTGCATTTTCCCTTTATTTTGTAACCATTTTTTATCAATAAAAAAGGATTGTTTTTTCACAGTCAAGTGTGGTGGATAGTGATCTTAGGGCCTCGTTTTCTGCTCTGGGTTGCAACAAGGAGGAAGTTAAAAACCTGGATTTGGGACCAGGCCTTCGGGTAAGCTGGCAGATAGACAAAAGACAATGACAACCAGAGTAGGAAAGGACAATGACAATGCTGGATGGATTACGGATTTATAAATCAGCGAACATTGACCACAAAATGATTTTATTGCTGTTATTGTATTGATTTGATTGTTTTAACTAGTAATAATTGTTAATGTTAAATTGTAAATTGTATATTGTATTTTGTGAATTGTTGGGCATCAAATTGTGCCTTTTGGAAGCCGCCCCGAGTCCCCCCGAGGGGGTTGAGAAGGGCGCGGTAGAAGCACCCCAAATAAATAAATAAGCAACTCCGGCCACACTCTGATCTGATCAGTCAGATCAGAGTGGGCCTTTCACATCAGAAGGGGGTTGGATTGATGGTTCCTAGGGGTCCCTTCCAACTCTAGGTCTCTATGCTGGCCTGTATCCTCCTTACCGTTTCTCACAATGAGCTCAAAGGTCTCGCTCCACTCCATTCGGGTGTTGACTCGGTTTCCTACGACACAGGAGTATCTCCCTGCATCCGAGGCTTTCAACGGGTCGAAGGTGAGCACGGCTCCACTGTCTACAAAATGATTGGGGCTGTCAGCTTCTTTCTTGAACCATCGATACTTGATGGGCGGAGAGCCCTCGGTCAAGCAGCTCAGGCTGGCCTGGGCCCCTTCGGACAGGACTGTCCTTGCTCCAGAACTGGACTTGATGACTGGTTTGGTTACTGGGACTGGGAAGCAAGAGAAGGGTCAATATCACCCAATGATCTATGTTTACCATAGGATTTGAATGAACAGAAACATAGCTGGCCTGCTGGATTATAGGAAAATCAATGCTATGGCATTAGAGAAAACTTTCACAAGCAGTACCTGACCCAAGCAAGACTTGCTGGAATGTGCAAAGTATTTGTTGGAAATGTAAGGTCGATGAAGATGAAGGATTGACGAAGGCTTTCATGGCTGGAATCACTAGGTTCTTGTGGGTTTTTTCGGGCTATAGGGCCATGTTCTAGAGGCATTTCTCCTGACGTTTCGCCTGCATCTATGGCAAGCATCCTCAGAGGTAGTGAGGTCTGTTGGAATTAGGACAATGGGTTTATATATCTGTGGAATGGCTGGGGTGGGGCAAAGAGCTTTTATCTGCTGAAGCTAGGTGTGAATGTTTCAGCTGATCACCTTCATTAGCATTTGAAGGCCTGGCTGAGCCTGGGAAAATATTTTGCTGAGAGGTGTTAAGATGTGCCTGGTTGTTTCCTCTCTGCTGTTTTGCTGTTGTAATTTTAGAGTTTTTTAATACTGGTAGCCAGATTTTGTTCATTTTCATGGTCTCTTCCTTTCTGTTGAAATTGTCCACATGCTTGTGGATTTCAATGGCTTCTCTGTGTAGTCTGACATGGTGGTTGTTGGTGTGGTCCAGCATTTCTGTGTTCTCAAATAAGATGCTGTGTCCAGGCTGGTTCATCAGGTGCTCTGCTATGGCTGACTTCTCTGGTTGAAGTAGTCTGCAGTGCCTTTCATGTTCCTTGATTCGTGTTTGGGCAATGCTGCGTTTGGTGGTCCCTATGTAGACTTGTCCACAGCTGCATGGTATATGGTAGACTGCTAATGAAGGTGGTCAGTTGAAACATTCACACCTAGCTCCAGCAGAGAAGAGCTCTCTGCCCCACCCCAGCCATTCCACAGATATATAAACCCATTGTCCTAATTCCAACAGACCTCACTACCTCTGAGGATGCTTGCCATAGATGCAGGCGAAACGTCAGGAGAAATGCCTCTAGAACATGGCCCTATAGCCCGAGAAAACCCACAAGAACCAAGATGAAGGATCTTTCTAAAAAGCAAGGAAATGCAATGCAGGAAATATCCACATCAAAGACTGGACTATTTCTATGAGTGATACCAAAGAGACAAATACAAACCATCAAAAGACCCAACTAACTTCTCACGCCAAGGCAGCTATCAAATTACACTATGATTTTACTCCCTGGGTTATAAATGTCATTTTTCTGATTGGTCCTAATTGGGAAAAGTTTATTAAACTGAAGGACATCCTGCAACACATTTTGATGTAGTTTTCCAATGAATATCTCATCATATGACCTCGTCACATCATCATAATTGGTCCAGGCTTATATGATGATGTTGATGATTATTATTATTATCATCATCATCATTATCAACAACAACATTATTAATATTATTACTGATATTAACACTATTATATCACTATTATTTGCATTATTGTTATTCATATTTGCATTATTAGTAGTAGCAGTAGCACTACTACTAGTAGTAGTACTAGTAGTACTAGTATTCAAAAAGTAGTAGTAGTAGTATGCAAAAAGACAGTATAGAAACTCAGAGTGTTATTAACATTATCATTATCATCATTGGTCCAGGCTTATATGATGATGTTGGTGATGATGATGATGATTATCATCATCATCATCATCATCATCATTATCAACAACAACATTATTATTATTATTGATATTAACACTATTATATCACTATTATTTGCATTATTGTTATTCATATTTGCATTATTAGTAGTAGCAGTAGCACTAGTAGTAGTAGTAGTACTAGTAGTACTAGTATTCAAAAAGTAGTAGTATTCAAAAAGACAGTATAGAAACTCAGAGTGTTATTAACATTATCATTATCATCATTGGTCCAGCTTATATGATGATGTTGTTGTTGTTGTTGATGATGATGATGATGATTATTATTATTATCATCATCATCATTATCAACAACAACATTATTATTATTATTATTATTATTATTATTACTGATATTAACACTATTATATTACTATTATTTGCATTATTGTTATTCATATTTGCATTATTAGTAGTAGCAGTAGCACTACTACTAGTAGTAGTAGTAGTACTAGTATTCAAAAAGTAGTAGTAGTACTAGTATTCAAAAAGACAGTATAGAAACTCAGAGTGTTATTAACATTATCATTATCATAATTGGTCCAGGCTTATATGATGATGTTGTTGTTGTTGATGATGATGATGATTATTATTATTATTATCATCATCATTATCAACAACAACATTATTATTATTATTATTATTATTACTGATATTAACACTATTATATTACTATTATTTGCATTATTGTTATTCATATTTGCATTATTAGTAGTAGTAGTAGCACTACTACTACTAGTAGTAGTAGTACTAGTATTCAAAAAGACAGTATAGAAACTCAGAGTGTTATTAACATTATCATTATCATCATTGGTCCAGGCTCATTATCATCATCATCATCAACAACAACAACAACATTATTACTGATTTTATTAACATTATTATTATTATTATTATTATTATTATTATTATTATTATTTGTTGTAGTAGTAGTATTCAAAAAGGCAGTATGGAAACCCAGCCAATATGTGTCGATTTTTTCATTTTACTTTTGCTTTGCCATTGGATTGCCCATGGCCTGGCCGCAGAGTCAACCCGGTAGCCATATCGGCTGGTTACCTTTGATCACCCTGAGCCTGGTGACCCTCTCTTTGGTGATCCGGCTCTTGTTCTTTGCTTCCCAGGCCACTGAACAGGTGTAGATCCCGCTGTCAGTCATGTCCAGCACTTCGATTTGGAGGGAGACCTCTCCAGCCGGCTGCCTTCGGATGCTGAGCCGGCCTTTGAAGGCGGTCAAGAGGGTCTGGTCCCCGGAGCTCTGGTCCCGGTGGAAGAGAGTCCGGAAACCGTGCTCTTGCTGGGAGGCCTTCCAAGCCACGCTCAGCTCCCGGAAGTCGGGTGATGGCTCATAGGCGCAAGGCAAAATGACAGAGGCCTTCCAAGTCCCATTGACCTCTTCTTTGCCGGAGAGGTCGAGAACGCCTAAGGAAAAGAGAGAATATTTGCGAAATTGGCATAAATAGCTAGAGGCTGGAGCTAGCACTTTGCTGGAAGCAATGTCATGGAATTGCCTCAGGTTGAATCTCTGACAACAAATTATGGGATTGGACCTTGGCTTTGGTGTGTTTGGTGTGTTGGTGAGATTGCTTGGCTTTGACCCTTGGAAAGAACTCTGCACTATCCATACGCTTTGTCCCTTTTGGGCTTATTTATTTGTCGTGTCAGAGCAACCAGTCCATTATATTACATTTCTAACAGGACAAAGCAAACAAACAGAAAGATACAAAACTTGTGAGTTTGGTAGTTGGTTAAGTGTCCTTTGACCAGTATCTGGCCACTTGAAGTGCCTCCGGTGTTGCGGCAAGAAGGTCCTCCATTGTGCAGCAGGGCTCAGGTTGCATTGCAGTAGGTGGTCAGTGGTTTGCTCTTCTCCACACTCGCATGTCGAGGATTCCACTTTGTGGCCCCATTTCTGAAGGTTGGCTCTGCATCTCGTGGTGCCAGAGCGCAGTCTGTTCAGCGCCTTCCAGGTTGCCCAGTCTTCTGTGTGCCCAGGGGGGAGTCTCTCATTTGGTATCAGCCATTGGTTGAGTGCTGGGTTTGAGCCTGCCACTTTTGGACTCTCGCTTGCTGAGGTGTTCCAGCGAGTGTCTCTGTAGATCTTAGAAAACTATGTCTAGATTTAAGTCGTTGGGCTGGCTGATACCCAAACAGGGGATGAGCTGGAGATGTCTCTGCCTTGGTCCTTTCACTATTGGCTGCTACTTCCCGGCGGATGTCAGGTGGTGCAATACCGGCTAAGCAGTGTAATTTCTCCAGTGGTGTAGGGCGCACACACCCGTGATAATGCGGCATGTCTCATTAAGAGCCACATCCACTGTTTTAGTGTGGTGAGATGTGTTCCACACTGGGCATGCGTACTCAGCAGCAGAGTAGCACAGCGCAAGGGCAGATATCTTCACTGTATCTGGTTGTGATCCCCTTTTGGGCTGATTACTGTGTATGACTTTGGATTGTGTGTAACTCTCTGACAATACCCAACCCCATAATAGCCCCATGGAGCTATACCAGGCATGGGCAAACTTGGGCCGTTGGGTTGTTTTGGACTTCAACTCCCACCAAACCTAACAGCCTATCAGCTGTTAGGAATTGTGGGAGTTGAAGTCCAAAATACTTCCAAGTGTGCCCATGCCTGAGCTATGTCATATTATATAGACGCTGTCCAGGGTGCTAGAAAAATGTCTTGCTAGAAAAGTTTTCCATTGTTTTGAGATTTGCGTTCCTCCTTTTCTGAGACTGAAGAATGAATGCAGTCTGGCAACACTCTCCCTGCCATAGCTCCATGCTATGGAATCCTGGGAGTTGTAGTTTCCTAAGATATTTCACCTTCTTGCCCAAAAAGTGCTGGGGTCACTGCCAAACTACAGCTCCCATGATCCCTTCATATGGAGACACTGCAATTAAGGTGGTGCCAAACTGCATTCATTCCACAGTGCCTAGGTCTCCAAGTACAACTCTACGGGTCTAGTGTACTGGTGCCTTGCCAAACTACAAATCCCAAGACGCTGTTGCATTGAGTCATTGAGTCAAAGTGGTGCCAAACTGCATTCATTCCACAGTGTCTATGTCTCCAAGTACAACTCTATGGGTCTAGTGTACTGGTGCCTTGCCAAACTACAAATCCCAAGACGCTGTTGCATTGAGTCATTGAGTCAAAGTGGTGCCAAACTGCATTCATTCCACAGTGCCTAGGTCTCCAAGTACAACTCTACGGGTCTAGTGTGCTGGTGCCTTGCCAAACTACAAATCCCAAGACGCTGTTGCATTGAGTTGTTGAGTCAAAGTGGTGCCAAACTGCATTCATTCCACATTGCCTATGTCTCCAAGTACAAGTCTACGGGTCTAGTGTACTGGTGCCTTGCCAAACTACAAATCCCAAGACGCTGTTACATTGAGTCATTGAGTCAAAGTGGTGCCAAACTGCATTCATTCCACAGTGTCTATGTCTCCAAGTACAATTCTATGGGTCTACTGTACTGGTGCCTTGCCAAACTACAAATCCCAAGACGCTGTTGCATTGAGTCGTTGAGTGAAAGTGGTGCCAAACTGTATTCATTCCACAGTGTCTATGTCTCCAAGTACAACTCTATGGGTCTACTGTACTGGTGCCTTGCCAAACTACAAATCCCAAGGCGCTGTTGCATTGAGTCATTGAGTCAAAGTGGTGCCAAACTGCATTCATTCCACAGTGCCTAGATCTCCAAGTACAACTCTATGGGCCTAATGTGCTGGTGCCTTGTCAAACTACAAATCCCAAGACACTGTTGCATTGAGTCGCTGAGTCAAAGTGGTGCCAAACTGCATTCATTCCACAGTGCCTAGGTCTCCAAGTACAACTCTATGGGTCTAGTGTACTGGTGCCTTGCCAAACTACAAATCCCAAGACGCTGTTGCATTGAGTCATTGAGTCAAAGTGGTGCCAAACTGCATTCATTCCACAGTGCCTAGGTCTCCAAGTACACCGGGATTGTGGCGCAGCTGGCTGAGTGTCAGCTGCATTAAGATCACTCTGACCAAAAGGTCATGAGTTCGAAGCCAGCCCGGGCTGGAGTGGGTGTCCAGCCATTGTGTAGCCCGTTGTCGACCTTTGCAACCCGAAAGACAGTTGCATCTGTCAAGTAGGAAAATAAGGCACCACCTTGTGTGGGAGGCTAAATTTAACTAATTTATGAGGCCATAAAGAAAGAAGACTCCGGGGAATGTGGAATGCAGAAGAACTTCATCGGTGTCGTTGATGGACGATGAAAAGCAGCAGCTCCCCTGGCGGCCAGAAAAAAAAAAAGTTAAATAGCCTTTGTCTGTTAAATGTTGTTTGTCAAACTGGCATTGAATGTTTGCCATATATGTGTTTACTGTAATCCGCCCTGAGTCCCCTGCGGGGTGAGAAGGGCGGAATATAAGAACTGTAAATAAATAATAAATAATACAACTCTATGGGCCTAATGTGCTGGTGCCTTGTCAAACTACAAATCCCAAGACACTGTTGCATTGAGTCGTTGAGTCAAAGTGGTGCCAAACTGCATTCATTCCACATTGCCTATGTCTCCAAGTACAAGTCTACGGGTCTAGTGTACTGGTGCCTTGCCAAACTACAAATCCCAAGACGCTGTTACATTGAGTCATTGAGTCAAAGTGGTGCCAAACTGCATTCATTCCACAGTGTCTATGTCTCCAAGTACAACTCTATGGGTCTAGTGTACTGGTGCCTTGCCAAACTACAAATCCCAAGACGCTGTTGCATTGAGTCATTGAGTCAAAGTGGTGCCAAACTGCATTCATTCCACAGTGTCTATGTCTCCAAGTACAACTCTATGGGTCTAGTGTACTGGTGCCTTGCCAAACTACAAATCCCAAGACGCTGTTACATTGAGTCATTGAGTCAAAGTGGTGCCAAACTGCATTCATTCCACAGTGTCTATGTCTCCAAGTACAATTCTATGGGTCTAGTGTACTGGTGCCTTGCCAAACTACAAATCCCAAGACGCTGTTGCATTGAGTCATTGAGTGAAAGTGGTGCCAAACTGTATTCATTCCACAGTGTCTATGTCTCCAAGTACAACTCTATGGGTCTACTGTACTGGTGCCTTGCCAAACTACAAATCCCAAGGCGCTGTTGCATTGAGTCATTGAGTCAAAGTGGTGCCAAACTGCATTCATTCCACAGTGCCTAGGTCTCCAAGTACAACTCTATGGGTCTAGTGTACTGGTGCCTTGCCAAACTACAAATCCCAAGACGCTGTTGCATTGAGTCATTGAGTCAAAGTGGTGCCAAACTGCATTCATTCCACAGTGTCTATGTCTCCAAGTACAACTCTATGGGTCTAGTGTACTGGTGCCTTGCCAAACTACATATCCCAAGACGCTGTTGCATTGAGTCGCTGAGTCAAAGTGGTGCCAAACTGCATTCATTCCACAGTGCCTAGATCTCAAAGTACAACTCTATGGGTCTACTGTACTGGTGCCTTGCCAAACTACAAATCCCAAGGCGCTGTTGCATTGAGTCATTGAGTCAAAGTGGTGCCAAACTGCATTCATTCCACAGTGCCTAGATCTCCAAGTACAACTCTATGGGCCTAGTGTGCAGGTGCCTTGCCAAACTACAAATCCCAAGACCCTGTAGCATTGAGTTGTTGAGTCAAAGTGGTGCCAAACTGCATTCATTCCACATTGCCTATGTCTCCAAGTACAAGTCTACGGGTCTAGTGTACTGGTGCCTTGCCAAACTACAAATCCCAAGACGCTGTTACATTGAGTCATTGAGTCAAAGTGGTGCCAAACTGCATTCATTCCACAGTGTCTATGTCTCCAAGTACAACTCTATGGGTCTAGTGTACTGGTGCCTTGCCAAACTACAAATCCCAAGACGCTGTTGCATTGAGTCATTGAGTCAAAGTGGTGCCAAACTGCATTCATTCCACAGTGTCTATGTCTCCAAGTACAACTCTATGGGTCTAGTGTACTGGTGCCTTGCCAAACTACATATCCCAAGACGCTGTTGCATTGAGTCGCTGAGTCAAAGTGGTGCCAAACTGCATTCATTCCACAGTGCCTAGATCTCAAAGTACAACTCTATGGGTCTACTGTACTGGTGCCTTGCCAAACTACAAATCCCAAGGCGCTGTTGCATTGAGTCATTGAGTCAAAGTGGTGCCAAACTGCATTCATTCCACAGTGCCTAGATCTCCAAGTACAACTCTATGGGCCTAGTGTGCAGGTGCCTTGCCAAACTACAAATCCCAAGACCCTGTAGCATTGAGTTGTTGAGTCAAAGTGGTGCCAAACTGCATTCATTCCACATTGCCTATGTCTCCAAGTACAAGTCTATGGGTCTAGTGTACTGGTGCCTTGCCAAACTACAAATCCCAAGACGCTGTTGCATTGAGTTGTTGAGTCAAAGTGGTGCCAAACTGCATTCATTCCAC